CGTTTCATTCTTGGCTAAGCCAGGGCAGCGCTTCTCAAACTTTTCCTTTGAAGTACCCCTAATGTGGAGCAGGGGGAACTCCTCATACCCCCCGACGACTAGGAACTTAACTAAAGCTGTGCTCGCAAGTGGTTTATAAAATCTCATGTTGTATTTTTAAAATTCATATGGAATTTGCATTGTGTACATTTTCAGAAATGACTAGTCAGTTATTTTTTAGAGATGAAATTCACTTTTAAAATTCACCCCTTTAAAGTGTACAATTCAGTTTTTTTAGTATATTCACGGAGGTGTAAACCATCACCACTAATTTTAGAAGATTTTCAAGATACTAGATGAAGTCTTTTGTGTCTGGCTTCTTTCACTTGGCGTGTTTTTGAGAGATTAATCCATGTTGTAGTGTGTATCAGTATTCCATTCCTTTCTATGGCTGAAGAATATCCCATTGTATAGATATACAGCGTTTTATTTGTTCATCAGTTGATGGATATTTGGGTTGTTGGAATTGCTTTTTGAATAAAACTGATGCTGAAAGAAGACCTTCCCTGTTTGTGCTGTGGCCTCACTTTCAGGTATAAGTCCTGACATGGACCAGGCTGAACCAGTGCAGGGCCAATCCCCGAAAGTGACTTCTCAACTAGGAGTCAGGCCTTCAAGTGGTTTACTTCTTAGATGTAATTTGAAGCTGCTTTCTACCAATACCTCTCAAACTGGTTTTAATAGACTTATTTTCCCTTCACAGCTACTTGCATGCAAAGAACATCATCCACAGAGACATGAAATCCAACAGTATCCTTTGGTGGTAGTTTCATCTGACGGCTCAGTTCTAAATTTAGGACACTTTTAAAGTTTACCTCAGCAAAAGTGACTCTGGAAAGAGTTCCATGAAAATAGAGATACCCGTTTGGGTTATGCTTGAAACAGGCCTAATTTTTAAATGCTCTTTATTATTAAATTTAACTTGGGAGAATGGGCCTTTTGTCCTTCGTGCTTACTTCTAGTTTGTGGACTGTATATCTGGTCAGACAGTAGCTGCAAGCCAAAAGTTGCAAGATTTTAAAAATTACTACTTAAAATTGCTTCTTGAATGCACAGAAATGGTTTCCTTAGAGATTACTGTTGGAATCAACCCTTTCCAAGACTTAATGTGCTTTTACAGAAGGGAAATGAATAAAGGTGTTTTTCTTGCTGTAGGGTGTGAAATGTAACAATTTTACGTCTGCCTCCCTCCACCAGCCTTTCTCTTTGAAGGGAGTATGGCATTACAGCTACACTTTGCTTCTTGGCCAGTGAGAGGCACAGCAGTTGTGTTGGGTCGCATGATGGGATGTGGCCTATTTTGGGCATGGGTCTGAGACATAAGATACCTTTTAGTGGTGGGTTTTTGCGGACCAACGTATTATACCATGAAGGCAGACACCACCGATTTTAAGGAGGTATGAATTACTGGGCATCAGCAGATCACACAAGTCGGCCTTAAACCGCCTGGCTTCTTTACTCAGAACTGAGGTGTTTGGTTTTGATTTCGAAGTCACCAAGTGGTACCTATCCTGTGAGAAATGCCTTCAGGCAGACAGCATTCAGGACTCAGGGTGTTTCCGTTAGCCATTGGAGGGCAGGATGCAGGCAAATGGATGTAAGCAGTCAGCAGGCCATGCTCAGAGTCTTGGGGTGTAAAGGCACCTACGTTATGTGGCAATGTCACAAGGCCAGAGACCCGGCTCCTAGGTGCGTAAATGGAGGCAGCAGCAGCAGCAGCAGCAGCAGCAGTTGGGGGCAAACTGGCTTGTTGTGGCTGGAGCCAGAGAATCTGGTGCCCAAAGCACCTCCTGGAAGGAGCCGCGTTCTAAAGCACTAGCAAATCCAGTGCAGAGAAGGCTGGGGCAGATGGGCGGCCGAGAGATGGTGCTAGTTAAGAACTTTGGGAAGTTTTTCAAAAGTAACTTGACCATTCTTTTAAAACCACAGTCCTTAACAGGCATTGAGATATATTTCTCCATGAAGGCCTGACGGTGAAAATTGGAGACTTTGGTTTGGCAACAGTGAAGTCGCGCTGGAGTGGTTCTCAGCAGGTTGAACAACCCACCGGCTCCATCTTGTGGATGGTGAGGCGGCTGGGCTCCCTCTAGCAGGGTGCAGGGCCAGGAGGGGTGATGTGATGGGAGGTCTGTATGCAGGCTTCAGGCATTTCTCTACATTTCCCGACCACCTCGGTGACACCTGTAGTGTTGGCAGCCCCTGGGCAAATTTGGGTTTCCTGGAGGAAGCTGGCCACCAGGAAGTGCTGAAGCACAGCTCGGGGGAGTTAGGTGATGGGGAGTGCTGGATCTCAGAGACAGGATTCCTGAGCTCCTTTGGGCCTGAGAGTGGGAGCCCTTTGGGAAAGAGCTACAGCAGGGCTGAGGCGGGGACTTTCATACCCAGCCCAAGGGACAGCCTGGCTCCTGCATGTCTTTGGGGCACAGATGGTGACAAATGCACTTTGTCCCCGTAGGCCCCAGAGGTGATTCGAATGCAAGACAATAACCCGTTCAGCTTCCAGTCCGACGTCTACTCTTACGGCATCGTGCTGTACGAGCTTATGACGGGGGAGCTGCCCTACTCCCACATCAGCAACCGCGATCAGGTGCGTCACTGGTGCTCAACGACCCGCTCGCCGTGGAAGCCCCCGGGCTCTGCCCGTCTGAGCAACACAGGGTGGAAGGTGCTGCTTTCACTGTTGTTCATCCACCTGTTCCCTCAACTGCTTTCTCTCCCTTAGATCATCTTCATGGTAGGCCGAGGGTACGCCTCCCCAGACCTTAGTAAGCTGTACAAGAACTGCCCCAAAGCAATGAAGAGGCTGGTAGCCGACTGTGTGAAGAAAGTTAAGGAAGAGAGGCCTCTTTTTCCCCAGGTAAGACTTGGCTCAAGGTGCTAGAACTGATTAAAGCAGGAGTTCTTAGTGATACAAACAAGGAGAGAAGTTTCTTGCTTTTTGTTCTATAGGGAGGGACTTGTGTTCTCCACAAGATGATGCAGGGCGGGTGGGGAGAACGGCCTGTGTCTTTGGCCCAGATTGAAAGCTGCTGCTGCAGAATGCCCTGTCCCCTGCCATGAGACCATTTTATGGCCTTGTTTCAGATCCTGTCTTCCATTGAGCTGCTCCAACACTCTCTACCGAAAATCAACCGGAGCGCTTCTGAGCCATCCCTGCACCGGGCGGCCCATACCGAGGACATCAATGCCTGCACGCTGACCACATCCCCTCGATTGCCTGTCTTCTAGTTGACTCTGCACCTGCACTCAGGCCACCAGGTGGGAAGGGAAGTCAGCAGGCATCACCTTTCTGCGGGGACAGAGCTCGTCTTCAGAGAAGCTGCTGCTAAGGACCTTCTAGACCACTCACAGGGCCTTGACTTCATGTTGCCTTTTCTACCCCTCTGGCCCTGGGAGGAGGAAGCCATTTGCAGTGTTGGTTTGTCCTGCTCCCCCACAACCCCTGTGCTCATGAGCCGAGCCTCCTTCAGATGCACCGGTGGCCGCTGATGGCAGTACATGATCTGGGGCCCCAGCTGTTCGAGTATTTTTAGGGCAAGAAAAAGCACTCAGAGAAAATGCATGTAGCAGGCAAACCAGCCGTGACGTGGGGACATGTGGATTTTGGAGATCAGCTCCTATGAGGAACGCTTATCACAGGACTTCTCTTCAGAGATACGTGGTGTGGCACCAAACAGGTAGTTTTGCACATAATGCACCAAACAGCCCAGGACTGTCGAGACCGTGGCAGCCTGGAGGAGCCTGCTTTGGTACTATGGACTTGACTTTGGGGACACTGCCTTTTCTTGAAGGTCTCTAGTGCTTTGGGATGGTTTTCCAGAAGAGGTGCTTGGCCTGCCCCTCCCAGTCTCCGCCCTCTCAGGGAGCAGTCTTCCATTGTGCTGAATTTGTCTTCCAGGAGCTGCCCCTATGGGGCGGGGGCGGGCCCCCCAACCCCTGCCCCACCAGCCTTGTCCCTACATCACATTGTATACAAGGAAGCCAGGAACACAGGTTTTCTTGGGTTTAATTTTGTTTTTATTGCGCCTGACAAAATACAGTTATTCAATTTGTTATTTTAATAAAATAAATTAAATGTAGGTTTAATGGCTGTTTCCTCCTTTTAAAGTAATCCTGAGCTCACAGCTTGAACTCCATTTGTTCATGCCTTTGGGAGCAGAACTCAAGAAACAGGAAATGGGCCCAGAGCCTCTGCTGGGAATTGAAATCAGCCTTTGTCACCCTTCACCTAAGAACTCCAAACTCACTCAGGTAAAGAGTAGACTTCTTCTTTAAAGTAATGCATTTTATAAACATTTGGTGTCTACAGCTGTCTATAAAAATAGATAATTTAGGCTTGGATTGCGTTCTGATTCACAAGGTTATGCTCCTTCAATTAAAATCACTACTGATGACAGAAGACTTGTACTCTCTTCAGGACCACCGCTAGATAAGAACCAGAAACTGTTCTTGGGTGCTGTTTTTATAAAATTTAAAACCAAAGCCAGGTTTTACAGATAACACACATGAGCCCTCGGGGCACAAGCCAGCAGGTGAGAGTTTCCCTGGAGGCATGTGTGCAAGATTACTCCGATTGTGACCCTACCACAAACCGGAAAAGAGGGGCCATATCTCTGCTTCCTGCTACTTCAAGAGCCCCACCCCCCACCCCCAGGTAAGAAGGTTTATACCTGTCTGCTGAACGTCCTGCAACAAGACTTCTCCCCTGATTTGGGACACTGCAGAGCCCTAAGTCAAGTTTTGTGCTAAGGTGTGCAGCGCTCACTTGGTTTTTGAAAAGCAATATACAAATCCAGTGTTGACCACACTATTTCAGTACACTAGGGAGGTTCACCACACAGGAATCCTTTGGTAAGATAAATGAATCTGCTGCTTTAGGGGCAGCTGCACGGTCCTCGAGGACGGGAGCCAGGCTGGTCTGAATCAATCAGTGAAAACGCTGGCTGGTCAGCTGGCCCCCCTGAGGAGTTTGAGGTGCAACTAACATAAACAGCAAGTAGGGAAGCAGCAATTCCATATATGTGTTCAGGTTATTTTATATCCTTACTCGTCCCATGGCTGTAATAATGGAGTGGATGAGACCAAGGTTAAATACAACCCCACTCAAATTCAAGTGACACGCCACCCCAGGCTGCCGTGAAGGAAGCTCTGCACACCCTGCCTTGGGGAAGCCTCGGCTGGTGGAGCCGAAGACGCAGGGCGACCACCTACTCTTCAGGGTTCTGATGACTCCACTCCGGAGAGGTGCATGAAGAGGTCCCCAAGCTCTGTCATGTCGACGTCTTCGGTGCTGTGGACATGCTGGCTTTCTCGGTTCTCAATGAAATCCCAGAGCCGCACTGAATTAAAGAACTGCAAAAACAGCCAGCAAACATGCCTGGTTATTGCTAAAGGCAACGTGAAAGCTGAGTAGCTTCTATTTCATTTGCCTACCACATGCCCTTCCGCCAAAGCTACGAGGAGGGGCCAGGAGCAGTCCCCGGAAATGCCTACAGGTGGGTGTTCCTGACTAGAGATGGCGAAGTCCTTACCCTCACGGTGCCTTCAGAACTGAGCTGTTTCCGAGGTTTCTCTGGTTCTGCTAGCCGCCCATCAGGGTAAGCATGGCGGTAAAGGCATTTGCTTCCAAATGGGCAGGTCCCTTTGCCTTGCTCAAAGTATTTACAAGCTTTTTTTCTGAAAAGCAGAAAGTAAGGATCAAAAGAACAGAACAGTGGGAAAATCTGGGGTGCAGATGAACCACTGTCTTCATCCATCCCTATCAGAGCCAGGTCAGCCTCAGGTCAGAGGGGCTGAAAATGAGGCTGAGAGAGGCGGGATGCTGATTTCCAAGCTGGACGGTACTTGCACCACGATATGCTGCCTCACGTGGAATAGAACGTGCACGGAGCCTCCACTGTGTTTTGAGCCTGCAGTGCTCCAAAGGCCTCCAGGGGCAGGTAGGCCTGAGCATTCCTCTGGGCCAGCTGTCTGGGCTCCAAGGTTCTGAAGCTGGGCTACTTGCCTCAGCTCAAAGTCCCAACAGGAGCTTCACCCAAGAAAGTTCTCCTTCCTCCTGGCCAGCAATGATGTCAAGGTGACCACAGGAAGCCTTCACTTAGGAGTCACAGGGAAAGCAGCAGGCTTTAGCAGCTGCCTAAAGTTACAAATCTCATTCCAATTTTCCTTGCTCCCCACCCTCCAGAACAGGACTTCTTAACTCTGTGCTACAGAACTCTTCTCGGAACAGTGTTTTTAAATGCATAAAAGAAGACACATAGGTCTACAAAATACAGTTATCAGAAAGTTAAAAAGATTTCCCCCCATCTTCAGTCTCTAGCTACAGACCCCTATGTTACGAACCCCTGCTCCTGAAGAAACTCAGAACCAAACAGGGAGCCAAACAGACAACTCCCATTCCTTCTCGCTGAAATGAAATTTGGCTTATGTAATCATAAGTGATCCCACGTTGCAGAGGAAGAGATGCCCGAGAAGCCAGAAGGGCGGGGAAGGTGCAGAAATGAAGCCAAATCCCAGCAGAAAGGGCAGGCTGCCGCGGGGATGGGGTACGTGGCGGTGGCAGACAAGGAAGGGACCTTCTTGACGTCAGTGTTCCCTGTTTTCTCAGACGAGGGGACGACGGCAGAGATGGTGGTCAAAGCCCCTGAGGCAGGCCTCAGAGCAGCACAAAGAAAAGCTCCCCAGCAGCTGTCCACTTCCACCAGGTCTGACTCAAGCACAGGTGACCAGGGAGTGGATTTGAGAAGTCTGTGGACCAGACGCCATCCATGGCCCACTGTCCCCAAGGTTCTGAGCAGATCTTCAAATGACCGCTCAAGTGGCAAGTTCTTAACAGGGTCTGCGGGACGCTGGCTTTAACAAACTCGTCAGGTTCAAAACATTATTCTCTGGTCCCCACCCCAAAATGATCGCCCCCCTCCCCCAGCCTTATCTGGTTACCAGGGACATAAGCCTCCAGATCACTCCTACTCCATCTCTGTTCTCAGTGCCCACATCCAATTGTTACTTCTGCCTACAAAGCACCTCCCCAGTCGACCATCCTCTCGGTTCCCACACCGTTGACGCGTTCGGGGCACCATCCTGTTGCCTGCCTGCCTGCTGTGGTCCAGTCTCCTGGACCAGGCCTCCTCCTCACCAGGTTCTACTCTCTTCACACACCTCAGAGGAGCTTCCCCAAACAGTGTGTCCCTTGTCGTCCTGTTCTTAAAGACACTCAGGGCCCCTTCAGACTTGTGCCTGTGTCCCTGTAGGTCCCACATCCTTCGATACACTCCTTTCAACCCCCAGGGACCACGCCCACTGCTCCCCAAACACAGAATCTGCACCATTCTGCATCCATGTCATCCCATCTGCCACCCCAGCCCCCAGCCCCGACACACGGACTATTCATGCTTCAGGGCTCAGGGTCCTATTCCCATCCTGCTTTCCCTGACACTCCCAGGTGGATCCCAGTGCCTTCTCTATTGTGACATCTGGCTCCGGCCTCTCATGATAAATCTGTCACCAGATAACCTGTATCATAATTGTCCTGCTGTAATTTCCCATGAAATTTCTTACTGATTTTTACTCTATATCCCACATTGGTGTTTAGCTTGAGGGAGCCTGGCCTGCAGCTCAGTAAATGTCTGTGGAATGCATGAAAACACTGTCATCAACAGAAAGCAAGGCCAGGAAGACCCAAACAGCAATAACGTGACTTTTCGGAGAACTGCAGCAGAGCTCCTTTCTGCAGGCTGGACCCCTCTGCCTTGCCACTGCTGCCCTCTGGTGGACACACAAGAACATCGCAGGAGGTAAAAATGGTAAAACAAGAAGATATCAAGCCTTCAGTAATCAATATGCAACTTAAAGGAACTATTTAAAAAGATAATATACAGTTTGGCTTTTAGTACCCTTCCTGCAGATGAACCAGAAATACAGACACTCTTAAAAGACCTGAAGGCACTGGAGAGTGAACAAAAGTAGGATTCTTCACGAGATTAGACACGTGGAAGAATGGAATGGCAAGAGACTGAGTTATCTTTTTTAAGAAAAAATAGCACTTAACCTAGAGCAGGCTCCAGGCAAGTATCTACGTGGGGTGGCTAAAACTCCAGTGGAAAAATCAAGTCTTTCTGGCCTGAAGAACAAAAAGAGTTGGTGGAAATCAACCACTGGAAGCGAGGAAACAGTCCCCCAAAGAAAAGGGCCTGAGAGGGACCCATCCAAATACTGCATACTAACTACTCCCAAATCCCAGGCCAGACCCTAACCCACACATCAATGCAGCAGGCTCAAGGCAACTCAGCTAAGGATAAAAAAACTGAACTGAGATTTGAACTGCTGCCCAAGAGTTGGAGTCTAAACAATTTCTCTGCCTATTAAAACAAAAACATTAACGTTTTATAAATGAACCTAACAGAATCCAGAGTCTCTACAAGGTCAGATTTACAGTGTCTAGGTTACAATCCAAAATGACTCAACTCAATGAAGAATCAGGAAAATGTGACCCATTCTTAAAGGACAATCAACAGAGTCTAACTTCAAGATAACAAGGATTTCAAAGCAGCTACTATACATGTGTTCAAGAACATGAGCAGAGAGGAAAGAAGATTGGAAAAAAAAAAAACAGAGCCTGAAACTTATAGGATAATATAAAAAGTCTATCACCTGTAATTAGAATCCCAGAAGAAAAGCAGGGTAGTAAAAAAATGTGATGAAACAATGGCCACAATTTCTCTAAATTTGGTGAATAATATAAACTTAAAAATTCAGAGAAAACTAAGCAGTAGAATATGAAAAAAATCACTCCTAGGCAAAGTATCAAACTGCTGAAAACCAGGATAAAGACCCAGAAAAATGACATACTACAATCTGAATCACACCTGACTTCTTATCAGAAACTACAGAGGCCAGATTATACAGTGGAACGACATTTGCAAAGCGCTGAAAGAAGAGAGGGGAAAACCCCAAACTATTATCTCAGAATTTTACTCATTGAAAGAGGAGGCAAACATGTAAATAAGACCAATTAGACCAATAAATTCAATGAAAATATCCTTCAAGAATGGGGGGGGGAACCCTATTTCTGATAAAAAGAAAACCTTCAAACTCATCACCAGCAGATCAGCAAAAATGTTAAAGGCAGTTCTTGAGGCTGAAGGGCAACTGTAGCAATTGGAAGGAATTACATACCAAATGACAGAGCACTGGAAATATATATCTGACAAGTTTTAAAGCAGAAGTTATTATTACCTTGTGAGGTTCTAATGCATGTAAGTATTACATCCCATACATTAAAGTTGCAGGATACAAAATCAATATACCAAAGTCAGTTGTTTTTTCATATACTACCAATGAAGTATCATCAGAAAGAGAAATTAAGAAAATACCATTTACAACTGCATCAAAAAGAATAAAATACCTAGAAACACCAAGGAGGTGAAAGAGTCATACACTTGAAAACTGCAAGACACTGATGAACGAAATCAAAGACAACACATAAATGGGAAGATACTCCATGCATACGGATTAGAAGAATTCTGTTAAAATGTCCATACCACCCAAAGCAAGAAATCTCTACCAAAATTCCAATGGCATTTTCCACAGAAACAGAAAAAACAATCCTAAAATTTGTACAGACCCACAAAGTCCTGAACAGCTAAAGCAATCCTAAGAAGAACAAAGCTGGAGGTACTGCACTTCCTGATTTCAAATTAGTTTACAAAGCTATAGTGACCAAAACAGTATGGTACTGAACCAGACACACAGATCAATAGAACACCATAGAAAGCCCATAAATAAACCTGTTCATATATGGTCAATTAATTTACAACAAAGGAGCCAAGAATATGCAATGAGGAAAGGACAGTCTCTTCAAAAAATGGTGCTGGGAAAACGACAGCCACATGCAAAAGAATGAAACTGGACCACAATGTGGTACCACACATAAAAATTAACTCAAACTGGATTAAAGCCTTGAATGTAAGACATGAAAGCATAGGCAACAAGCTCCCTGACATCTGTCTTGGAGATGATTTTTTGGATTTAACACTGAGAGCAAAGGCAACAAAAGCAAAAATAAACAAGAGGGACCACATGAAACTAAAAAGCTTCTGCAGAACAAAGGAAACCATCACAAAATGAAAAGACAACCTACTGAATGGGAGAAAATATGTGCAAGTCACCTATCTGATAAGGGGTGAATATCCAAAATATACAAAGAACTCATACAACTCAGTAGCAAAAAATAAACCAATCAGATTTAATGGGCAGAGGAACTGAAGAGACAGTTTTTCAAATGGCCATCAGGCACATAAAAAGATGCTCAATCTCACTAATCATCAGGGAAATGCAAATCAAAACCACAATTAGATATCACCTCACACCTGTTAGAAGAGATACCTGCACCCCCACCATGTTCACTGCAGCGTTATTCACGATATCCAAGATATAAAAACAAGTTGTTTAACAGATGAATGGATAAAGAATATGTGGTATGTGTCTGTGTGTATATATACACACACACACAATGGAATATTATTCAGCCACGAGAAAGAAGGAAATCCTGCCACTTGTGACAACACGGATGGACCTTGAGGGCATTATGCTAAGTGAAATAAGTCAGAGAAAGACAAATACTGGACGGCATCACATATATGTGGGAATCTAAAAAAAAAACAAAACTCATAGAAACAGTAGAAAAGTGGTTGCAAGAGGCAAGGGTGCAGGGAAAATAGGGAGAGGTTGGTGAAAGGGTGCAAACTATCACCTATTAAGGTGAATAAAGATAAAACATAGTGACTCTGGTTGACAACACTGTACTGTACAACTGAAATTTGCTAAGACAGTGGGAAAAAAAAATTGTGAGGCAATGGATGTGTTAATTAGCTAGATGGGGGACTCCTTTCACAATGTATACCAGATTACCATGATGTAAACTTTTAAGTATTTCATAATTTTATTTGCCAATTATACCTAAATAATAAAAAATTATATTATTACCTTGTGCAGTTCTAATGTATGATATGCATTATATCTGACGCACAAAGATGGTAATGAGGAAGTAACTGCATATTATATAAGGCAGCAGGAACATTAATTCTGACTAAAATATTAGGAGTATATTGTAATCCCAAGAAAAAACCATTAAAAAGAGATAAGCTAAAAAGATGCAAGTTAAAATGGAATTCTAAACAATATTCAAAATAGCTAACACAGCAGAAACAGCAGAGGTATCCATCAGCAGGGGCACAGAACAGCCGGGGTAAACAGGCAAGCCCTTGCTTTGCAAGGTTCTGATCATGTGCTATGGTCTGAATGTTTGGATCCCCCTAAAATTCACATACTGAAATCCTAATGTCCAGTGGGATAGAATTAGGAGACACGTGATTAAGTCATTGAGGGTGGAGCCCTCACGAATGTCATTAGTGCTCTTGTAGGAGAGCCGGTGAGCTCCTTCACCCCTTCCAACATGTGAGGACGCAGTGAGAGGATGCTGGCCCTCACTAGAACCCGACCATGCTGGCACCTTGATCTTGGACTTCCCAGCCTCCAGAACTGTGAGAAATAAATGCCTGCTGTTTATAAGCCACCCAGTCTGTTGTTAATCTGGAACAGACTGATGCACCATGTACGGTGAGTTGAACAGCGGCCCCCAAAAGGTCAAAATCCTAAGCCCTGCTACCTGTGAATGTGACTTTATTTGGAGAAAGGATCTTTGCTGATGGAGTTAATGATCTCAAGATGAGATCATCCTGGATTAATGGGGAGGGTCTTAATGGGAGAGACCCTTACACGAGTCAGAGGGGAGAGAGAGACACAGAGCAGACAAAGGCAGAGACTGCAGTTACGCTGCACCCAGAAGCCAGGAGAGGGGCCTGGAACAAATTCTCCCTCAGAGCCTCCAGGAGGAGCCACCCTTGCCCACACCTGGATTTTGGACTTCCAGCCTCCACAAGTGTGAAAGAACAGAGATGTCTGGTGTTTTGAGCACCCAGTCTGTGGTAATGTTACAGCAGCCACAGGAAATGAATCCACCATGGTTTCGTTAAGGGCCACTGGTCCCCCAGCAACACGGTTCAAATTTCTGTCACCACAACACACAACTGTGAGTGACCATGTGAAGCACACACTGTCAGCTCTTCAGTCCAACCCACCATACAAACAGCACATGTGCACCACGGTCAGTGACTGACCATCTTAAGTCTCCTCCCAAGTCTGTCGGTGACTGGTCACTGTGCATCTGTTATTCAGTGGAGGTGTGTTGCCTCCTTGTTGCCCAGTGATACATCCACAAGACATTTTACAAAAACGGATAACTGAAAGAGGAAACTGGCCAACAAAGATAGAAGTGCAGCAAAGAAATGAAAAGTGGTAACACTGGAAGTGAAATCTGAATCCTCCGCCGTATTCAACGCATCAGCAAATCCATCCCAGTTCTTCTAAACAGGTCCAGAATCCGACCACTTCCCATCACCTCCATGCCTCCTACCCTGGTCCAAGCCACGGCCACATCTCGCCTGGACTGTTGTAACAGCCTGACTGGTCTCCCCATTTCCACTTCTGCCTCCTCTTTCAATATATTCTCAGTGGTTCAGCCACAGTGATCCTTTCAGAATATATCAGATCATGTCACTCCTCTGGTCAAAATCGTATGACGGCTGCCCACCTCAGCCAGAATAAAAAAGCTAGTCTATCCAATGACCTACAGAGCCCAACACAATTCACCCTACTCCCCCTGTCCTCGTCTCCAGTGTTCTCCCCACCTGCTTCTCTCCTGCACCTCCGCCTTGCTGTTCCGAACAAGGCAGACATGCTCCAGCCTCAGAGCTTTCTCTGCAGTGACAGCCCCCTCCCTCTGGAGCGCTCTTCTCAGTCACATGGACATGGCTCGCCACCTTGCCTCCTCGAGGTCTCTGCTCACAGGTCGCCTTACTGACGTGTCCTCTGAGCTCCAGCAGGCAAACTGCAATCCCCTCATTTCCTATCCCCATTCCCAGGCCTATTTCACTCCTTAGCCCCACCATATAATAAACATTTTCCTATTTTCTTGTTTGTTTCTTCTTCTTCTTATTTTTTTCCTTCAGTAGAATGTGAACTGTGTGAGGGCTGGGATTTTTGTCTAGTTTGTTTAGTGCTGTATCTCCAGCAACTAGAAAAGGCCTATCAGACAGATCTTTCATCTCTATTTGTTGAACGAATGATCAGAGATAAAAGGGCTATCTTAGCACTACAAGCAGGATTTCTAGGGCACACCGCTCAGCTTAAGAACCACTTCACCACGGCCTTGCTTGCTCATCTCTGTGTCCCCAGAGCCTGGCATGCTGCCCGAGAGAAAAGACACTGAGTGGCCGCCCCACAGGGGAGGCCCTGCATGAAGCAAAGATGGAAACAAGAGCCAGGCCCGCACCAGACCGCGCTTGAGCGCAGAGCACTTACCCCATTCCCTGCTTGAAAGCTTCAATCAACTCGTTCTTTTTATCCTGATCTTCTACCCAATACACACTTGGAATTACGAACTCTGATATCACGCGGCACTCTGGACAAGACCTGAAGAAAGAGTCAGCTTAGTAAGGGAGAGATTCAGCTACAAATCCTGTGCACACTCCACCACTAAACCTTGTGCTCAAATGCAGGACCGCTCCAGGTGTTTGATTCCCACCCTGGAATTCTAAAAGGTACAAACGCAATCCTCTAACCTAATTTACTGTTGAAACATGTTCTTCTCAACAATAAAAAAGACAACCTAATTTTAAAATGGGGCAAGGATTTGAGTAGGCATTTCTCCAAAATGGCCAATAAGCACAGAAAAAGATGTTCAGTACCATTAGTTATCAGGGAAATGCAAATCAAAACCACACTAAGGTATCACTTCACACCTGCAAGGATGGCTAACATCAGAAATCAAGACCAACTAAGTGCTGGCAAGAATGCGGAGAAACTGGAATCCTCCTATGTTGCTGATGGGGATGTAAAATGGTCCAGCCACTATGGATGGCACTCTGGCAGTTTCTCAAAATTTTAAACACAGAGTTCCCATATGCCCAGCAACTCCACTCCTAAGGGTATACCCAAAAGTTCTGAAAATAGTATTCAAACAAATACACAAATGTTCATAGGTACACTAGCCATAATAGCCAAAAGGTGGAAACAACCCAAATGTCCATCAACTGATGAATGCATAAACAAAATGTGGTCTAGCCATACAATGGAATATTATTTATAGTCACTAAAAAAGAATGAAGGGGCTTCCCCGGTGGCGCAGTGGTTGAGAGTCCACCTGCCGATGCAGGGGACACGGGTTCGTGCCCTGGTCTGGGAAGATCCCACATGCCGCAGAGCGGCTGGGCCCGTGAGCCATGGCCGCTGAGCCTGCACGTCCGGAGCCTGTGCTCCGCAACGGGAGAGGCCACAACAGTGAGAGGCCTGCGTACCGCAAAAAAAAAACAAAAAAAGAATGGAGTACTGATCCATGCTACAATATGGATGAACTCTGAAAACATGCTGAGTGAAAGAAGCCAGACACAAAGGCCACAATATTGTATGATTCCATTTATATGAAATGTCCAGAACAGGTAAATTTATAGAGAAAGAGGAGATTAGTGGTTGCCAGGGGCTGGAAAGAGGGATGAACAGGCAGTGGCTGTAGGTAGAGGTTTCTTTTTAAGATGATGAAAATGTCCTAAAATTAGACTATAGTAACAACAGCTGCACAACTAAGAATATATATTAAAAAAAAAAAAACCCTGAATAGTATTTTTTTTTTGCGGTACGCGGCCCTCTCACTGTTGTGGCCTCTCCCGTTGCGGAGCACAGGCTCCGGATGCGCAGGCTCAGCGGCCATGGCTCATGGGCCTAGCCGCTCCGCGGCATGTGGGATCTTCCCAGACCGGGGCACGAACCCGTGTCCCCTGCTTCAGCAGGCGGACTCTCAACCACTGTGCCACCAGGGAAGCCCTGAATTGTACATTTTTATCTCAATAAAGCTGTTATTTTACCACACGAATGTGTGACTTCGGGCAAGTTACCTGACCTCACCATACCTGAGTTTCCCTATACATAAAATGAGGATGATGATCAGAGAGTCTCTGAGAGAATTACGACTTAATGTATGTGAAGTTTCTGACAGTACACAGCACGCGGTAACTTCTCACTATGACTTAGCTTTTCTGCCACCCCACTGCGGAATTTAAGAATCCTATGATGTTATGTGTCAGTTATCTCTCAATAAAGCTGGGGGATAAAACCCTGTGTTGGCTCACTGAGTACATCCCATGTATCAGACATTATGTGAAATGTGTTACATGCACTATTCCATTTAGTCCTCAAGCCCTACGTTACAGATTAAAGAAAAAAAGGCAATCGGCCTACGGGCGGACCACCAGTAACTGTGCCAGAGGCAAATGGGCCTTCTCACACAGAGGATCCCTGCTGAGTGTCCCCCCAACACCCTAAATGCCTGGCAGGAATTGTCACCTGCGTTTTAAAAGAAAAGGCAGTTGGGCTCAGGAAGGGTCTGTGACTTGCTCAAGTCCTTGCTCAAGGACTCACCACTCACCTGTGGAGGACAAGGGAAGGCTTCCCTGCGGATGGAAGAAAATCCCAAATCAAACCTTCTCCCAGACTCTATAGGTAAGACCCCTACTACACTTACTTGATGATTGGGTTCTCAAACTGCTTGGCACACCTCCACTGCCGGATGCAGGACAGGCAATACGTGTGGTTGCAGTTGGAAAGGATCCCGAACCTCCGCTCTGAGGCTGACGCTTTCTCGAGGATAACCTCCATGCAGATGCTGCACACTTTGTCCTGACTCGCCTGGAAGGCAAAGGCCTTCTCCATCTCGTGTTCGAATGCTGACATGCAGATCTGAAGTACAGGGAGCGGGGAAGGAAACCTTTGGTTCTGGGCTGGGGAGTGGTGAGAGCCCAGAATGACTGCCAGCCACACAGTACAACCAGGATCGGGAAGGAACGGGGACTGTGGCTGCTTCAGGCAGGCCTGGCCATGCCCTGCATTCGGGACACAAAGCTCTCTAAAGACCACCACTGGCTCGCCCCACTGCCTGTCCGGCACTGCTCCACGGTCACTTCCAATTTAAAGCCGAGACCAGAGGCCCAAGAAGATTAGAGGGCCACTGTGGGGTCAAGGAGGTCCCAAAGACTGGGACCCTGGTCTCCTTGCCCCTCTGAGTACCGCCTTTCCCAACACCAACACCGTTAATGCCAAATAACCCTTAATCTAAAACATCAGGCTGACAGGCCAGGGTCAGAGGTCAGCAGCATCTCTTCTTCCTACGAGAACCAGTTACTGAACGAATCCCTTCACTCAGGAGGCAGGTGAACAGAGCATGTCCACTGCGCAGCACCACGCATCAGGCACCAGAATCAATGTAAAGGACCTAGGACCCAGGCCCTCGCACAGTGGATGCACACATGAGCCGAACCCGCAGCACAGCACCCGGATGTCATGTCCCTGGGGAGGAGGGAAGTGCTAACCCGTGCTCACCTGAACACCCCCCGGGGGACAGACAACCTCCACAACCCTGTGCTGAGCAGAAGCCCGCACAAACACGGGAGCCTAATGACCTGCAAGGTCCCTTCCGACACTGAACTCCTCAAATTCTCCAGAACTTGGCCTGGCTGGCCAGGTACAAAATGCAGGTATTACTGGCAGAAAAATGCTTACAGAAATACCGATTTTGTCACTTAGTGCACTTCAAATTCCTTAAAAAGAGTTCCCATAAAGGCTTGCAACTGTACCTTCTCGTGAGCTTTCCTTTGCTCTGGGTCGAAGGGGTGCAGGACTTGTAACCTACAGATTTCACACACTTCCCCATGCAGGTAGACACAAGCATCCCCAAATCGGCACTCCCCGGCAGCTGCGTAGGGGCACAGCTGCTGCTCGCTGCTGTAGGAGCTGCTAGCTTCCAAGCTATTGAGACCACTCCTGATCGCTTCTAGGTAGGAAAGCGGCTTCAGCTCCGGGCTGTTCTGCAGGTCACTGCAGCCTCCGGGATTACTCACCACACTTGGGCAAGTCTTTTCTTCAGCCATGCCAGAGAGATCTTAAAATAAAACACAGCACGCGCACGCACACACACACACACACACACACACACACACACACACACACACATGAAAACTGGCCCAATTCTGGTAAGCAATCAGTCAAAGCCTGACAAACTAACCCTGACTTTGGGAATTCCACTCTTGGGATGTATGGAAAAAACAGGCCAAGAGGGGAAAAATAAAAGAAAAAATGTTCAGTGATATTACTTAGAACCATAATGAAAACAAAAAAACATAATTGGCAACATAGGGTAATAGCAAAGCAGACCATGATATATTTATATAAAATAACACTAAAGTCCTTTTTAAAAATGCCAAGTATGGAAATCTCAACACATGGACCAGTTACACTTAAAAAAAATTTTTTTAAAGAAAACAAAGTATAAGTCAAAAGGAATTCAGAATGAGGTCAATAGAATACAGTGGTTTCCTTTTTACCAGTAAAGTTACCAATCATTTTAAAGTGAAGGAGAATGAAAATCTGGAGCAAGTCTCTGGGTCCTGAGGCCAGAGTCAAACTGTCCTTCGGCCACCCACCTGCTTCTCACATGGGAGCTGCTGCCTACCCATCATGCTTCTAACATTTTCCGAGGGGATATATCTGACGGGATGGATTTATTGTTTGCTTAGGATGGGATCTGCCTGTCTTATGCTGAACAATTTCCAGAAGTAGAAACCCCTTCACCTGGTGAGGACCAGCCAATAAAAACAACTACGATTTGTAGCCTTCTACCCACGCAAACCCTGCTCCAGGGTACAGATCACTCCCCAAACCTGAATATGCTATTCTATTTCCAAAGGTGGAACTGGCTCAGCCTAAGAACTAAGACTATGAACTGACCAAGAAGACAAACAGTGAAACGTGCTCTTCAACAAAACCTGTAGCTTTGAAATGAACAGCTTGGTGCTTCTCAGAGTTGGGCAACCACGCTATGCAGATGACAGTTACATGGTGACAAAAAGGCCACCTTCAATGTTTTGCCAGGCAAACCTGGCGCTCTGCCCCACCACGGACACGACACCTAATGCGTCATCTGAATGCTCTGCAGCCAGATGAAGCCTGTTCTCAGGACTGTTCTGGGTGTGAGGTTAGGAGCCCCCTTGACAAGAGAAGGCCAAGGAAAGCAAGAGTGCTGTTCAAAAAGGCAACAGAAGGATTCTGCTCACTCACTTCGGTCTCTAAGTACCAATGTCCTCTTTTCACGTTTCCCAGGCTCGTGTAAGTTAGTTTTCACGACTGATGCAGTGAGGTCGGAAGGAGGGTGAGGACTGTGGAAACCCAGGGAGGGCACCCCATGGGGAACAGTGCCCATGGCCCCACCAGCTGCAGCAGAGGGCCTCGTGTGATCGTATCTGAACAAAACACACAGCAGATGCATTACGGACACACCACACGCACATGCCTCCCGCATTCCCCAGACCTGGAACATCCCTCCTTCTGCTCCATCTGTAGACGTGGACAATGAGACAATCGTTTCCTGTATTTTAACTGATAAAAGTCTTATCAATTAGTAAGAATTACCTGGCAATTCAGAGTGAGTAGTACACTGCTCTCTATCACCTCCACTTAAGTGTCCTGTGGGACTTGAGTGGGACAGATGTACTGCCCAGACCACACAAAGAGAGCCCGATGGTTCCGGAGATGCTGACTGACTGGCTTCTCCTGGACTGTCTCTTGGGGGCGCCCACTGGCAGGGGGAGGGCAGAGTGGGCCAACTTCCCACATCCCAGGCAGCACAGAGGAAGGACTGAAGGGAGCTCTGCAGCCCAGGAAAGCAGATCAGCCCTTCACTACAACAGCACAGGAACAGGTTTTGGAATGTTCTGTCTAGAAGTTACAAAACTTGCCTACAGATGTCGGTAAAAAAGGATGATTCTACATATGCTCATAAATGTTCACTGCACTCATAGCAAAACACTGGAAGCCCCTTAAGTATCTAATACAGGGATAGTTAATAAAATGATGGTATGTCAACATTATGAAGAATTATAAAATTACAGGTAAGACATAAAGCAGCAGCACTGGAAGGAGCTTATGACATGTTAAAAAAAGGCAAGATAGAAAATCTTATGTATACCATGAGGGCACATTTATAACTACAGACTCATAAGAATAGGCGTGAAAAGTGACTTTGAAAAATTAAAATTTTTATGGTACTAAATTTGAGGTTTCAAAATTATTTCTGTAACATTACTTTTAAACTAAAGTTTTCCCATCATCAAGACCCAGGATTTACGTCCATGACGGTAGTGAACTGAGTGTAACAGCCGGCGACAGAAGCGGGTTCTTGCCTGCAACGAGTTCCGTAGGCGCAGCAGCCCTTCTGGTAGTATTTGCAGACGGTAGATGGCTTGCTGTTTGCCAAGTCATGTGAGAACAGGCACTGGTTTCCTTCCCGACACACACCATGCATAAAATACCTGATGAGACAAGCAGAGGCATAAAACTTTTTGTTGTTGTTGTGGTACGCGGGCCTCTCACTGTTGTGGCCTCTCCTGCTGCGGTGGAGCACAGGCTCCGGACGCGCAGGCTCAGCGGCCATGGCTCACGGGCCCAGCTGCTCTGCGGCATGTGGGATCTTCCCGGACCGCGGCACGAACCCACGTCCCCTGCATCGGCAGGCGGACTCTCAACCACTGCGCCACCAGGGAAGCCCAACAATAGCCTTTTTAAGAGTGGCAATCCTTGAGAGTAAGTCATATGGTGTTTTGTGTTTTTTTTAACACCTTTATTGGAGTATAAATGCTTTACAATGCTGTGTTAGTTTCTGCTTTTTAACAAAGTGAATCAGTTATACATATACATATATCCCCATATCCCCTCCCTCTTGCGTCTCCCTCCCACCCTCCCTATCCCACCCCTCTAGGTGGTCACAAAGCACCGAGATGATCTCCCTGTGCTATGCGGCTGCTTCCCACTAGCTATCTATTTTACATTTGGTAGTGTATATATGTCCACGCCACTCTCTCACTTTGTCCCAGCTTACCCTTCCCCCGTGGTAATTTCTTATTTTTGTTGATCTGTACTTTCTAGTATTTCTACCATGAACATATACTGCTTTTGTAATAGTAAATGGTTGCTTTAGTTTTAAAAGATTATGAAGGGCTTCCCTGGTGGCGCAGTGGTTAAGAATCCGCCTGCCAATGCAGGGGACACCGGTTCGAGCCCTGGTCCAAGAATATCCCACATGCCACGGAGCAACTAAGCCCGTGCGCCACAACTACTGAGCCTGCGCTCTAGAGCCTGCGAGCCACAACTACTGAGCCTGCAAGCCACCTACTGAAGCCTGCGTGCCTAGAGCCCGTGCTCCGCAGCGAGAAGCCACTGCAATGAGAAGCCTGCGCACTGCAATGAAGGGTAGCCCCCGCTCGCCGCAACTAGAGAAAAGCCTGCACATAGCGACAAAGACCCAACGCAGCCAAAAATAAATAAATTTTTTTAAAAATAAATAAATTTATTAAAAAAAAATTACAAGGGCTTCCCTGGTGGTGCAGTAGTTGAGAGTCCGCCTACCGATGCAGGGGACACGGGTTTGTGCCCCGGTCTGGGAAGATCCCACATGCTGCGGAGCGGCTGCGCCCGTGAGCCATGACTGCTGGGCCTGCAAACAGACTCCCAACAGTGGTTTTGTAAGTCAACAATCAAGATTTCGATATCAAACAAAAAAAAAAAAAAAAAAAAAATTACGATAAGTATCGAATACCGGAGAGAATATGGTTTAAAAAACCCCATAAATGCTCAGTACAATACCTATCTCACAGTGGGTACCCCCAAAGTTCAGTTCTTATTAGTTTAGGAAAAAAATGCTGCCGGTTAAGCTGACAGTTAGTTACAAGAGGGACCTGGGCCTTATCACGACGCACGCATAGGGCTGAGGAGTCACAGTCCATGAACCGAGGCAGAGAGAAGGGGGCGCTGGCCCAGGGGCCGCCTAGCCAAGCAGTCTACAGAATGCCCGGGTGCCAATGGGTGGGAGGAGTATGTGCCAGAAACACAGAAAGGCAGGGAAGCGAGGCCCCACGAGGGTGCGACAGGCCTGCTGAGACAGATGGAGGATCAGGCCTGACTGGGGCAGCTGGAATAGTGATGAGTGCACCTCCCAATAAGGGACAAGTCAAGCCCTGAGACACACTAAACCCCCTCCCTAGGCCTCTTGCAGAAAGGCCACTGGAGCTGCAGGGCGAAGACAGACTGGAGGGGCTGGAAGTGTAGGTGAGAGGAGCCTGTCAGGAGGCTGCTCTGTAAAGGGGCTTTATCTGTGAATCCATGTTTTAACTTAAAAAATATACTATAGAAAGTCTCAAATATATACAAAAGCAGACAGTGGTAGGGTAACTCCCAAGATGTTTCCACACCAGCTTTCACCTTATCAACTCCCAAGCACTCTGGTTTCACCCATCTCTCCCCTCTCCCGTATGGCTGTGACAGTTTATCCTTTTAGAGAGGGATAACACATACCTCTTGAATGAAGACTTCGGAGCAAGGAGGGCCCTCCCTCCCTCTGAACAAGTATGTTATCAGAAATATATGAAATGAGGAAAAATACAACAACCCCAACAAGCAGTACCATCAGTACTCTGTCTAGCACTTTTACTTCTTTATCTCACTTAATCCTGATACTACTATGAGGAATATTAGCTCTACACCAGACAGGAAAGCTGAGGCTCAGAGATGCAGACAGGAAAGCTGAGGCTCAGAGAGGTGTGATGACTTAGAGAAGATCTAATTGCTGAGTAGGGGACCCCAGCTCCGGTCTTCCCAAGACAGCCCTGACCTTTTCCCACCAAAAACTGATTTTCCTGTCAGTCTGCCTCTGTCCGTACCGTGGCCCCTTTCTACAACACTGTACCCCATCTTTCACTGTACTTAACTGTGATAACCCACCTTCCTTCATGACTAGCACGAGTCCTGGCTGTACCAAGAAACCTTCCCACCGCTCCAGCCCACAGTGTGCTTTCCTGGCAGTGCGCTGGTTTAGGCTTTCCTCCACGGTATAGTGCTTCCCAACTTGGCGCCCCTGACCCGAGAGAGCTGGGGCTCTTGAACACATGGTTGGGAACATCCGGTTAACACCATACACAAAAATAAACTTGAAATGGATTAAAGACGTAAATTTAAGACTGGAAACCATAAAACTCCTAGAGGAAAACATAGGCTGAACGCTCTCTGACATCAATCGTAGCAATATTTTTTTGGATCTGTCCCCTAAAGCAAAGGAAATAAAATAAAAAATAAACAAACTAAACATAAAAGCTTTTGCACAGCAAAGGAAACCATCGACAAAATGAAAAGACAACCTACTGAAGGGGAGAAAATATTTGCAAATGATTTGGTAAGGGGTTAATATCCAAAATATGCAAACAGCTCATACAACTCAACATCAAAAAAAACCAAACCACCTGATTAAAAAAGATGGGCAGAAAACCTGAGTAGACATTTTTCCAAAGAGGACATATGCAGCTGTCCAACAGGCACATGAAAAGATGCTCAACATCACTAATCATCAGAGAAATGCAAATCAAAACCACAGTGACAGATCACTTCACACCAGTCAGAATAGCTATCATAAAAAAGAACACAAATAACAAATGTTGGTGAGGGTGTAGAGAAAAGGGAACCCTCCCACACTGTTGGTGGAAATGTAGATTGGTGCAGCCACTGTGGAAAACAGTACATATGTTTCCTAACTAACTAAAAAGAACCACCATATGACCCACCAATTCCACTCCTGGGTATATAAGAAAACCTCCAAACCACTAATTTGAAAAGATACATGCAAAACACTAATCTGAAAAGATGCACGCACCCCAATGTTCACAGCAATATTATTTACAATTTCCAAGATGTGGAAGCAACCTAAATGTCCATCAACAGAGGAATGGATAAAGAAGATGTGGTATACGTATATACAACGGACTACTACTCAGCCAGAAAAAAGAATGAAATCTTGCCATCTGGAGCAACACAGATGAACTTGGAGGGCATTATGCTAAAGAAAACAAGTCAGACAAATACTGTATGTTATCACTTATATGTGGAATCTAAAAAATATAACAAACTAGTGAATGTAACAAAAAAGAAGCACACTCACAGATACAGAGAACACTAGTGGTTACCAGTAGGAAGAGGGAAGGGGGGAGGGGCAATATAGGGGTAGGGAGTTAAGTAGAACAAGCTATTAGGTATAAAATGAGCTACAAGGATATACTGTATGACATGGGGAATATAGCCCATATTCTATAATAAATATAAATGGAGTATAATCTTTAACAACTGTGAATCACTATATTGGACACCTGTAACTTACATAATATTGTACATCAAGTATACATCAAGGGGGGGAAAAAAAAGC